TGTCTAAGGTACCTTTTAGCAAGATAGATTCCTTCCTTATCTCTTTTAATTAGGTTTTTTTTCTTTTACTTTGTCTAAGATCAGAATTGCTACCCCTCTTTTTTTTTTAAACTTCAGCTGAAGCATAATAGATTTTGCTTCAGCCCCTTGTCTTTACTCTGGGTGTCTCTCTGCTTCAAGTGTGTTTCTTATAAAAAACATATAGGATTCAGGCTTTTGATCCACTGTGCTATCCACTTCCATTTTATGGGAGAGTCCATCCCATTCACATTACAGTTATGATTATTACCTGTGTATTTCCCTCTATCCTATTCTTCCTCCTGTCCATCTTCTCTCTCCTTTCACCTTTTCCCTCCTCACCAGTGTTTTACTTGTGTCTACCACCTCACCTGATCTGCCCTCTCTTCTGTCAGTCCTTACCCCTCCTTTACTTATTCTCCTCCCTTGCTATTTCCCTGTTAAGTGAAATAGATTTCTATATTCAACTGATTATATATATGATTCCCTCTTTGAGCCAATACTGATGAGAGTAAGGTTCAAGTGATACTTGTCACCCAACCTCCCAACTTCCCCACTACTGTAATAGGTCTTTCATGCCTCTTCATGTGAAATAATTTACCCCATTTTACCTCTCCCTTCCTTCTGTACCTGTTGTGTTCCTCTTTCTCATTCCTTATTTTTTATGTCGTTCCCTCAAATTCATCTTATTATCATACCCTCTATCTATGTATATTCCTTCTAGCTGTACTATTAGTGATACAATTTTTAAGAATTGCAAGTATCATCTTCCTGTGTAGGGATATAGTTTAACTCAATTGAATCCCTTTATGAAAGTTTGAAATCCTTGTATTTCATTCAATGTCTATTTTCTTCTTTGATGTATTATGCTTAATTTTGCTGAGTAAGTGATTCTTGGTTATAGTCTTAGCTCCTTTGTCTTCTGGAATATCATGTTTCATGACCTCCAGTCCTTTAAAGTTGTAGCTGCCAAGTCCTGTGTAATCCTGATTGTGGCTCCCTGATATTTGAATTGTTTCTTTCTGGCCACTTCTAGTACTTTTGCCTTAATCCGATAGTTCTGAAATTTGGCCATAATGTTCCTTGGCGTTTTAATTTTGGGATCTTTTTCGGGAGGTGATCATTGGATTCTTCCAATGCCTATTTAGGCTTCTGGTTCCAGGATGTTAGGGCGGTTTTCCTTGATAATTTCTTGAAAGTTGCTGTCCAGGTCCTCCTTTTGATTATGGCTTTCATGTAGTCCAGTGACTCTGAGACTGTCTCTCCTGGATCTATTTTCCATGTCAGTTGTTTTTCCCATGAGGTATTTTACATTTTCTTCCATTTTTTCATTCTTTTGAATTTGTTTGATTGATTCTTGATGTCTCATAGACATCTTGGTTGCCTTGGTTTTGTTTGTACAGCCTTTTGTTGGCTACATTGCTCCAGAATCCACTTGCCCAATTCTAGCTTTTAAGGTGTTGTTTTCCTCAATTAGTTGTTGTACTTTCTTTTCCATTTGGCCAATTCTACTTTTTAAGCAGTTTTCCAAGCTATTGACTCCCCCCCCCATAATTCTCTTGCATCACTCTCATTTGTTTTTCCCATTTTTCTTCTACCTCTCATATGATTTTTAAGCTCCTTTTTGAGCTCTTCCATGAGTTTTTCTTTGGGGTTTTGCCCATAGCTGTTGTGACATTGTTTTTTGTGTGGTTTTTTTTCTTTTTGATGAGGCAATTGGGGTTAAGTGACTTGCCCAGGTCACACAGCTGGTAAGTGTCAAGTATCTGAGGCTGGATTTGAACTCAGGTCCTCCTGACTCCAAGGCCAGAGCTCTATCCACTGTGCCACTTAGGTGCCCTGACATTGTTTTTCTCTTTTTGAGTTTGTGTCTTGGTCTTCCCTGCCACCATAATAACTTTCTGTGGTCTGATTCTTTTTTGTTGTTTTTTGCTCATCTTTTTTTCCCCCCCCTTTTCCTTTCTTTTAAATTTGAGCTCTCCACCTGGAGTGGAAGGGGAGCTGTCTCAGGCTTCTTGTTCCAGTGGATGCAAGCCCTAGTTCTTTACCTGGTGCTGCACTGAAAAGGCCCTCAGAGGACCCTAGTGTCTGGTGCTGTGTGGAGGCAGTAGGGTGGGAGGTGGCTGATACTGCCGGAGGCCCTAGGGATCTGGCAGCTTCCCTGGTGCTGATCTGGGATCCTAGAGGTGGTGTCTAGTGTGTGGTGAGGCCCGGTGGGGTGCTTCTGCATTTCCTTGGGGCTACATTGAAGCATATAGAGGCCCAGACCCTGGAGGATGCCTGTTTACCTGGGGTTACACTGAAGCGTGTGGTCGTTCTTGGAGCTGGAGTCTTCTGGTTCCCCTGGCAGGTGTGGCACCGGTGGGTTCGGTGTTGGTGTTCGCCTGCTCCACCACACTTTGGCTCAGGATCTCCCACTGGTTTGCTGAGGTGGGGCCTTGCTGCTGGTTTGCTGAGATGCTTGCTGTGCTGGAATGCACCCCCCTTTTACCTGCTGATCTTCCAAGTTTCTTCAGCTAAAAGATTTTCACCCTGTTTTTTGCTGGTTCTGCTTTTCCAGGATTTGTTTTGGTGTACAATTTAATGGTTGTTTGGAGATGAATATGGGAGAGTTACAGCAATTTACCGCTTACTCTGCTCTCTTGCCTCCTGGAAGTCTTTTAATCTCTTTTTGACCTGTGTCCGATCCTCTTACTATCTCTTTGTGGTGAGAGCTCCCCAAACTGTTGCTGCTTCTGCACCTCTTGTGGCCATAAACTGCAAGGCCCATAGATTATGTTGGCAGCATACTGTGCTCTGGGTCGGCCCTCGCTGACAGTGTCATAAACTTGCTTCTGGCCTCCTAAATTGTTTGCAGCTGGAAAAATGCCTTTTGTTGGCTACATTGCTCCAGAATGTAATGCATTATTTTAAAGATTTTTGGAGGGAAAAGTTAGAAGAGTTCAGCTGGAATGTTGCTTCTACTCTGCCATCTTGGCTCCACCTCTGGAATATTGTATTTCAAGCTCTCTGCTTCTTTACGGTGGTGTCTGCTAATCATGTATGATTTTGACTGCAGCTTAGTACTTGAATTCTTTCTTTTTGGCTGCTTGTAGTATTTTTTTTCTATCACCTGGAAACTCTGGCTTTTGGCCATGGTAGGAGTTTTCATTTTAGAGATTTCTTTATTTCTACTTTCACTTTATTCTTGGATTATAAAAGATATGGGCAGTTTCCTTTTAAGACTTCTTAAAATATAGTATCTAGGATTCTTTGGTGGGAGTGGGGGGGGAATCATGGCATTCAGGTAACCCAATTATTCTCATGTATTTTCTCCTCATTCTGTTTTCTAGGTCAGAGACCTAGAAAATGTCTTTACGTGCACCCAGCAAAGCTGTGTGTCTAGAAGCATCAAGAAAAGAAGGATCCATTGAGAAATACCTAGGGTAGTTTGAAAAACCTAGAGTTTTGGAGGCTATCAGGAGCCACTGCTCTTAGATAAGAACAGTTAAGGCCCTTTAGTGCCTTGAAAGACTCTAAGAGCTCACGTGCTGTCTCCTGAGATGTCACAGAAGGCCCTGAAGATCCATCACTCTGAACTCCAAAGATCCAGAGGAGTTTGACTCTGGAAGCAATTGGATCAGGAGCCCTGGGGACCAAGGATGAGACTAAGTAGGTTAGATCATCTCACCCAAAAGCCCAGCAGTGGGAAGATTCCCAGTGCTGCATAATAGCTCATTCAAGACTGGAGAGATGAGTAAGCCAAAGAAAATGCTGCCTAGTATAAAAGGAAGGAAAAAAACTTACTATAGATCTAGAGATGTTAAAAAAAAATACAGCTTAGTTGGAGAAAGTAACTCCAGAGTATCTGCAAGGAGAAACTTAATGGAAAAAAATTTATTTTCCATAAGGACTATAGAAATACCTAGAATAAATGAAGCAAAATATTTTTAAAATGAAATAAAATATCTGGAAGAAAGAATTAGAAGGAAAATAAATAGCATAGAAGACTAGTAAACTTTACTGGAGTGGACAGACTCCTTGAAACCTGGAATACACTAAATAGAAATCAGTGACTATCAGACAGGAAATATTAGAACAAATTCAAAAGATTGAAAAATAAAAGAAATATTAGATGTAAAAAACAACTGGCCTGGAAAATACGTTACAATAAAAGGATTTAAGAATCATTTGACTTACTGAAGGCTATGCTTTGCAGAAAGCCTGGCTACTATATTTCAAGAAATCATACATGATATCTCCCCTATTAGAATCAGAGGGAAAAGTAAAGATAGAAAGAAGCTGCTGTTAACATTCTGAAAGAAACCGTGAAAGAAAAAATTCTCAAAATGTCACAGCTAAAATCCAAAGTTTCCATGTCTAAGAAAAAAAATATTGGAAGCATCCATAAAAAAGACCTGGAAGCTTCTGCTATAAGAGGAAATCATGAAATACAATATTCTAAAAAGCAAAAGATGCAGACTTATAACCAAGAATAACTTGCCCTGAAAGGATGACAGTGGTTCTACTGTATAAGATGGATCTTTCATAGGAGAGAGGTTTTTTAAAAATGATACAAAAGATCTCTTTTTCTTACAAAAGAGAATAGAAATTCAGAGAGAAGCACAAACAGGAGAGCTCTAAATGTAATGTATAGAATTTTTAAATTTTTTAAAGTACATGGTGTAAAATGGATATTTGGTTACATATGCAGTCCTTTTTTTAAAAAAAAAAACAACTCAGCTGTTTCATTTTGTTTTTGTGTTTCCAATGCTCAACACAGTGCCTGGCAAATAGTAGTTGTTTAAAAGGTGGGTATTGACTGATTAATCTCAGCAATACTAAATTGTTCCATTAGTGTGTACAGATTTTGCTTTAACAAATCAAAAGTTAATATCACATTACATCTAGGTTTAAAATGGCCTGTGGTTCATACCTTTAGAAAGACATGATAGCTAAGTTTTGCTTAACTGCTCATTATAAATCTTTTCTTTAGTACTGACCTTCACATGACTCTCCATTGGGTGAAAACATTCCATTGTCATGGTAGCCATCTCTGCACTCACAGTGATACCAACCAGGCAGATTAATGCAGTTAGCACGGTTGTCACATTGTACAAAGCCATCTGAACATTCATCAATGTCTGCTCAAAAATAAATTAGAGAAAAAAGAAGTTAAACATTAGCTATAATCCACTGAGAAGTGATATGGTATGTTAGCAAGCTAATTAATAATTATGATACCCCTGGACCCTGGAAATGTGTTGATATACAATAATAGTAAGGATGGTAATTCTAATTTTTATTGTTTTATAGTTGAAAAATGCCTTAAACCCACTAACTCAGTGAAAGTCAGTCAAGTATCTACTATGTGCTAGGCACTATGTTAAGTAATGGAAATATGAAGAAAGGGGGAGAAAAGAAAAGAGAAAAAAAAGAAAAAAGGAAGCTACAAAGGGGAGAACATGATGGAGAATACCAAAGGAGTGCACTGGATGGGAAATAAAGAGAAAGCTGACCTATTTAAATGGAAGTTGTCAAAGAGAAGTTGCAAAGGCAATGTAGATAGATATGGAACAAACTTGTAAAGATTTTACCAGTTGCCTCTAATACGCATCAGTGTCGGCCTATTCTGATCCAAATAAGCCTTTTGTTCTGTATATAGATTCTAGCCTAAGAGCACTTTTACTAAAAACGTGTTGGTCATCAGAAAATAACTGTCTTTTCCAGCAGATGATTTAGTGATAGTGAGATTCACTATTTCATACATAAACTGGAGTTAGTTAGCTTTAAAGTGGTCACAGAAAAGTTCAAATACCATTCATATGGAGCTAAAATTTAAGTTTGTATTAATAATAATCTCATGACATTTTTACTTCTGCCAAGTATGAGCAGCATTAGCCAATTATGAATTTTTCATAAACTATGAACTTAAGTTTTGTGGTAGCTTATGCCCTATATAATGTTATGAGACACTAATACAAAAGGAAGGAATGAAGACAATCTGTGAATTTAGGTCACAATCAAATGGGAATTGTAACTAAGATGACTTCCACAAGATAGCATTCTATGAGTATATGTAAGCCTTGTTTCATTAAACCAATACCTTGAAGACATGTTCTTGAAGTATTCAGCTAATAAATTTAAGCTCTATACTAATCATAGGTAAGTCATAACAATTTTATGGGAAATAACTCTACACAATGAATTATGAAGTAACAAGATCTGGTATAGTAATATATACATAGTATACATATATATTTTAAAATGTCATTATGCTATTTCTAATTGCATTTACTGTTAATAAATACCCTTGGAATGACTCGGGGGGAATAGCCTAATGAATATATATCACTAAAACTTCCCATCTTCTATTCACAGCATTTTTAAAAATTAAGATCACTATATGCTTTTGATAGTCTATTAGAAAATGAAATTCTTATGGGTAATTTTATATGTTAGTGGAAAAATTCATTTTATAGAAGATGAAATTACATTCTTACCTGTTTCACAGCTAGGTCCTGTGAAACCTGGTGGACAGGCACATACATTGGAAGCAATACAGGTTCCTCCATTTCTACAGCCATTTTTGCAAAATGCTGAAAGAGTTAAAAATATCACTACTAATATGAACTCCAAAAATCATTCTTGAAGATGACCTTGACATCAGAAAGGTCATGCCATGACTTGCAAATGAATTGGATTTAACTGAGGGAGGACTGTGCCTCACTTTCTCCTCTAGAGCCATCTGGGTCCCGTGGCAAGGTATAAATCAGGATGACTGGATTGACCCAGATGCAGTGGGGGACCTTGGCTTTTTAAAGTTAAGGTCTTTCCCAGGTCTCTTGGGAGTCTACTTGTCCAGACAAACCCAGGAACTATATGAACACAATTACAAAGCACTTATCACAAAAAGTTAGATCTAAACAATTAGAAAGATATTAATTGTTTATGGGTAGACTAAACCAATATAATAATGTGAAGGGTATTAACGATTTTCATATTAACTGATGTGATATGTATAATGAGTATGCCAGTAATTTAGATTTCTCAGAGCTGCCTCTTCTAGCTTGGGAGTCAAAAGCTTGCAATGCAGCTTGAAATGATCAGTCATACCCTTGACAATGCTCTTACAATCCTTACAATCCTGTGCCTGTGTACATTAAGTGAAGTGAATCAAAAATTTTAGACCTGTTTCTGTCATAGAACTCTGCTCTTTTGCCCTACCAAGTAATGACCCTCAAAGACTTGAAATGATACTGTTTCCACAGGACCCCAGAACACCTGTGTTGTCCTTCACTCATGGACTTGTCATAGGAAACCACTCAAGCCCTGGAAATGATTATTTGTAATCAACCTTCCTCCACCCACCTCACCTCCCACTTGTGATTTATGTGTATAAACTGTGCCTTTACTCCACCACGTGGAGCATTCCTCACTCTGGAAGTTATTAATTAAACTGCTACTGGTTTCCTGGTATTTCTGTCTCTGGCCTGCTTTGTGTGGCTCTGGGTATTCATAGGTTAGAGAATGGTCCTGTTTGGACTACATTTAAAATTGTGTTAACAATAAAAATTACAAATCCACCTAAGTTAATTTATTTATTCAGTACTATACCACTCAAATTACCAAAAATATTTTATAGACCTAGAAAATATAATGAAATTCATCTAGAAGAACAAAAGGTCAGGAATTCCCTTGATAGGGAATCAATTTTTTTTTAAATGTGAAGGAAAGTAGCTTAACAGTATCACATCTCAAACAGTATTACAAAGTGGTAATCATCAAAACAAGCTGGCACTGGCTAAGAAACAGAGCGGTGGATCAGTGGAATAGATTAGGTATGCCATACACAGTAGTAAATAATCATAGTAATATAGTGTTTGACAAACCCAAAGATCCAAGATTTGGGGACAAGAAATCAATATTTGACAATAATTACTAGAAAAACTGAAAAGCAGTTTGGGAGAAAATAGGTATAGACCAACATCTTATCCCGTATACTGAGATAAGGTCAAAATGGGTATCTGATTTAGACACAAATTGTGACATTATAAGTAAATTAGGGGAGCATGGAATGTTTTACCTCTCAGATTTATGGATAAGGGAAGAATTTATGACCAAAGAAGAGACAAAGAGCCTTCCAGGAAGTAAAATGGATAATTTTGATTTATCAAATTAAAAAGTTTTTGCACAAACAAAACCAATGCGGTCAAGATTAGAAGAAAAGCAGGAAACTGGGACAAATTCTTATGGCGAGTTTCTCTGATAAAGACATTATTTCTCAAATATATGGAAAACTGAGTCAAATTTATAGGAATATGAGTCAACTGACAAATAGTCAAAGGATATTAACAGGAAATTTTCAGAAGAAATCAAAGCCAACTATAGTCATATGAAAAATGCTTTAAATCCCTATTGATTAGAAAAATGCAAATTAAAACAACTTGAGTACCTCCTCACATCTATCAGATATGACAGAAGTAGAAAATGACAGGTGTTGGAGGGGACATGGAAAAACAGAGATACTATTAGTCGAGTTGTGAACTTATCAAGCCATTCTGAAAAGTAATTTGGAACCATGCCCAAATGCTATAAAACTGAATATCCTTTGACCAGCAATACCATGACCAGGTCTATATCCCAAAGAGATCAAAGGAAAAGGATGTATATATGCAAAAATATTTATAGCTGTTATTTTAATGTTGGCAAAGAATTGGAAATTGAAGGTATGCCCATCAGTTGGGGAATGGCTGAACAAGTTCTGCTATATGATTGTGATGGAATATTATTGTGCTTATAGCAAATGACCAGCAGGCTGCTTTCAGAAAAATCTGGGAAGAGTTGCATGAACTAATGCAAAACGAAAGGAACGGAACTAACACATTAACAACAATATTGAAGGATGATCAGCTGTGAATAACTTAGCTATTCTCAACAATACTATAATCCAAAACAATTTGAAAGGACTTTTGAGAAAAAATGCTATCCACCTCCAGAGAAAGAACTGATGGTGTAAGAATGTAGATTGAAGCATCCTTTTTTACTTTATTATTCTTTTTTTGTCTGTTTTCTTTTGCAGCATGGCTAATATGAAAATGTTTTGCATGACTACACATGTATAATCTATATCAAATTGCTTATATTCTCAAGGATGGGAAGAGGAGAGAGGGAGGGAGAGAAATTGGAACTAAAATTTTTAAAAAGAAATGTTTAAAAATTTGTTTACATGTAATTAAAAATAGAAATTAAATAAAAACCTTTTCATCATACTAATCCTGCTACCTATCATGCTATATATATTAGTTTCTTCTCAGCTAAACTTCTTGAAAAAGACATCTACACTTGGTAACTTCAGTTCTCTCAAACTGTCTGACCTCATCATTCACATGAATGAAACTTCTCTCTCAAGAATCACTAAAGATTGCTTAATTGCCAAATCAAATGTAGTTTTTCTTGATCTTCATCTTCCTTCCTTTTGGAGAATTTGACACTGCTGATGACCTGCACCACCTGGATAGTCTCTGCTTTCTAGATTTTGATAACTCTTGGTTATCCTGCTTCTTGTTCTACTTTTATGGATCTTCCTTTATTTTTTTCCCACTACCTATCCATCTTCCTCTCATTTCCTCACTGCTTTGCCACCACCAAGGCTCAGTCCTATGTTCTCTTTTTTTTCACTCTATAATGTCTAACCTAGTGACCTCATTAGCTCCTATGGATCTCTGCATATGATGACTTTGCGCTTTTTTTTTTTTTGGTGAGGCAATTGCAGTTAATTGACTTGCCCTGGGTCACACAGCTAGTAAGTGTCATGTGTCTGAGGCCACATTTGAACTCAGGTCCTCCTGACTCCAGGGCCGGTGCTCTGTCCACTGCTCCAGCTAGCTGCCCCAATCACTTTGCATAGATATATTGAATATAAATTTCTCTCTTAGGCTTCACTCCCGTATCACCAACTGCCCACCCTAAATGTATCCTATGCATCTCAAACTCAACATATACGAAAAGTAACTCATTGTCCTCACCCCAAAACAACTTTCTTCTGAATTTCCCTGTTTTGGTGGAGGGCACTACTGTCTACCCCCAAGTCACTGAAGTTCAAAAACCTAGTGCCCTCTTTGATTTCTCACTCATGTTCAACCCATGTATCCAATCAGTTGTCAAATTGTGCTCAATTCTCTTCACTCATATAGACATCACTCTAGTGTAGGCCCTCATTACCTCTCAGTTGGACTATTTGAAGAGCCCTCTAATTTTTCTCCATCCTTGTCTCTTCTCTAATTCATCTTTCTGAAAGCTGTCAAAGGGATTTTCCTTTATCACAGGTCTGACCATGTCATTCCCACTACTCAATAAATTCTTAGGTCTCCCTGTATCTAGAACAAAATATATAATCCTTTTTAAAGCATTTAAAGCTCTTTTAAATCTAGCTTCTGATCTTCCTGGTCTTCTTATTCTCTGCTCCACTCTATGATGTAGCCAAAATGGCCTACATCAGGCCATTTCTTGAACATGTCACTCCATCCACGGACTCTGTTTCCTTGTATTGGTTGTCCCCCATGCCTAGAATGCTCACCCTCCTTGTATCCACTGCTTTGAATTTCTTGCTTTCTTCGAAACTTAGCCCCATGCCATCTTATACAGGAGATTTTTCCTGGTTTCTGTATAACCTCCCCATTCCTCCCTTATCCCTTGTCACCAGCTGCTAGTGAATCTTTCACCTCCAAGGTTAGCTTCTGTCTACTCTGTATGTTATATCTATCTATTTATTTATCTGCCTTCTATCCCATTACACTGTAAGATCCTTGAAGGCAGGAACTGTTTTTGGCTTTTTTTGTGTTTTCAGTGCTTAGAGAGACACATAGTAAGTACTTAATAAATGTTTCTTAAATGATTGAGTACATTAACTTTACATGGGAAGAGCAGAGTCACGCACCCCAACTGACCTTTCCTAATCTTTCTCTCCAAACAACTCTGAAATAATGTGTCAAATCAAATTCTGGAAAGGCATAGCCAACAAAAGGTCAGAGTGAAACATTTTTCCAGCCCAAGACAACTTAGTTAGTTGTCAGGAGAAGTCTGTGAACTGGGGTGGAAGCCAGTCTGGAATGCACATAGCAGTAATACCAGTGGTGGCCCTTGGAGATGGTAACAGTGGCAACAGTAGTTGTTAAAGTTTTCAGTGCAGACAAAGTAAGGAGTTTGTACAACTAGTCAGAAAGAGATTACAGAGGATTTTTTGCTGGCACTGAGTACAGGACCTTGGTTGTTTAGCAACCTCATTTGCCCATACGTAGTTCTGGGTCATAGCTCCAAGGTGGAGAGGAGCACTTATGGACAGTCACAAGGAAAACAGGTGATCTGGTTGCAGTTTCAGGACCTAAAGAGCTCTAATGCTTATGGCTGCAGGGAGGCAGGGTCTCTTCCTGGCTAAATACCAGAATGCAGACCAAGAGAATACTTATCACACCTCTCCCATCTTGGAAGCACCAAAAGTTTACAGATCCCCAGAACTAGCTCTGAAAACAGAATTACAAAAAGAGCCTAAAGTTAGTGATAATGCCATTCCACCCTAACATGAACAGAGCCTAACTTT